AATAAGGAAGTCATTCCCATTAAATGTCTAATTGGATGAGAATTCCATACTTTCTTTTTTATACTTAAATACATATTGTTGAGTCATCTTTCTTAGCTTGAGAAAATCATCCAGAATGTCATTTGTGAATTCACAGTCTAAGAATTCAGTTGTATGATAAATTTCACCATCATCCTTAAAATCCAGAGTTCTTTTTTTTTTTGCATTCATCTTCTAATTTTTCTAATATTTTGAAATGTTTCTCTTTATCAATTTTCCTTTTTTTGCTATATGTGAGGACAAATGAAAAACTCTGAATTTCATTAGTGGTTAATAAAAGATTAAAACAACAGTAAACAATGCAAAGATACTATCTCCAGATTTTTTTTTAATACTCCCTTAAATGATGATGCAGTCCCAGCGGCTCAGGAGACCAAGGCAGGAGGATTACAAGTTCAAAGCCAGCTTCAGCAAAAGCTGGGTGCTAAGCAACTCAATGAGACTCTCTCTAAATAAAATACAAAATAGGGTTGGGGATGTGGCTCAGTGGTTAAGTGTCCCTGAGTTCAATCCCTAGTACCCCCTCCCCCACGCACAAAAAAAGAGATAATGCAATATTTTAGATATTGTAGTGAACCAAGAAAATTATTATCTTACAGTGAATGATTTATTTCACTATTGAATCTACCTGCTAGGTGATTACAAATTCTATACCTTTTGCCTTTTCTAGCACAGTTAGGAGTATTGTTGAGTAATGTGGAAATAATTCTTACAATAATGATATATCAAAATGTTTTACTTGTATGAAACTAGAGGAAATCAAAATCACTAAGAGACTATAAGAAAAGGTCCAGTGGACCCTTTATGGCAATTGCAAGATAGAATGAGTTTTAGTTTTTTTAAAAAACAAATTTATTTTTTTTTTGAAAAATGAGTGTAAAAAAGAATAGAAGTTATGAAATAGTTATCCTTATAACCAGAACATCTCAGAAAAAATAAAATTCAAAATCTAAAATTGAACTGAATGAACCCTGATGGGTTAATCTGTGGTAAATTTGTCTCTCTGGCATTTGCAACAGAGCTTAATCCACCTGATAATTTACAGTGGTAATCAGTAACCCCCACAGTACTGAAATCAAGGGACATTTTCCTATCATCTTTGCAATCAAATTGATCATATCTTCCTTTTTAAAACCTGCATTCTTTGGTATTGCCTGCAGACTTCTTCTGATTTTAACCAAACTTAAAGACTACTCTCTCATCCTCCAGAAGGTACTTCTCTCCCATTCTTTAAAATAGGAAATTCTTAAAGGCTTTCCTTCTCTCTCTTCTACTCTTCTCATCTATATTCTCCCTCTCCCTAAATAAACTCACCCATCCTGTGACTTTAAATGTCATCTATTTGTTGATGACACTTAATCTTTTACCTCTGGATCTGACCTCTCTTCCCGATATTTATAATCACCTCCCTACTTGGTATATCTGCTTGGATAGCTTACAAACATCCCACACTGAACTCTTGATCTTTACTTGTTCCAAATTCTGCTTCTCTTGACATCTTCCCTATGACATCTGCCTCTATATATTTGTTTAAAACAGAAACACAGGAAGCTCTCTTAACCCTTCTCTTCTAAATTTCAAATATTTCTTTCTGTGTACATTGCCACCGCCTTAGTTCAAGCTACCATTATGTCCGGGACTTTGGCAAGAGCCATAATTGGTACTTCCTTGCCCCATTGCCACTGCCATAGGGATCTTTCAGAAATGTAAATTGTTTCATGTCACTTCCTTGATTAAAACATTTCAGTGGTTTCTAGTAAACCTCCTAGTAATTCTCCTAGTAAAACCCAAAATTTTTAGTGTTGCCTGCAAAGTCCTATATGATTAGGTCACTGTTTACCTCCCAAATATATCTCACATCACCCTCCACCCCACACACTGGCTATCTTCCAGTCACAGTGATGTGCTTTTACTTCTACCCACACCCCCTCCCACAACTATGTCTGGTTAACTCCTGTTTATTTTTCACTGCTCAATTTAATGTCACTGATTACACATCGACTGGCTAACTCCCTTTATCTCCATTTTTAGTTACCCCTCTAATTCTGTTTTCTAGTCCCTTAAAACACTGGAATTTAGGGCTATGGTGTAGCTCAGTGATAGAGTGCTTGCCTAGCATGTACAAAGTCCTGGGTTTAATCCCCAGCACTGAAAGAAAAAGAAAAGAAGGAAGACACTTCCAACTCCCAACTCCAACTTTTATTTCATAGTTTCTTTTCAGGATTAGTCGTTTATGATTCAGGAAATATTTGCCTATTTCCTAATAATACCTCTGTAGTGTTTAACTTTGGTCTAAGCATTCAATAAGAGCCTATCCAGTCAATGTATGTGTTTTAGCTTCTGTAGACAGTATGTCACCTCTACAGGTAAGGTATTAGGGAGATGTACAGATTCTCTCCCATACTCTCAACAATAATCATGGACAGTGCCTAAAACTTAGAAAATGAAGAAAAAGTACAAAGATGAATATAATAATGTATCTATCCCACAGTGTAGATAGATAAAAATAGCTACAATTAGTTTGTGACCTTCCTTCTTTCCTTTCTTCTTCTTATTCATTTGTCCTTCCCTAGGACAGTAGTTCACCAAACATCATAGTTGGTTTGCAAATCATTCATTTTACATAAATTTATCTAGTTCCTGTAAATGGTCACTAGTTATTCAGTATTCTAATTAGCTGGTAGCCCTCAAGTATATGTTGCATAAGAATTACTTTGGAGCCAGGCATAGTGTCACATGCCTATAGTTGTTATGACTAGGGAGGACGGCAAGTTCAAGGCCAACCTCTGCAACTTAGTGAGACTGTGTCTCAAAATAAAAACTAAAATGGGCTTAGATGTAACACAGTGGTAGACCATCACTGAGTGCAATCCCCGTACCAAAAAAAAAAAAATTACTTCGGAATTCCATTTATGAATTGTGATTTGCTCACAAGAATCTCCCTTGTACACAATAATTTTTTTCCCTTCAAAACTCATTAAAGTGTCAGTAAAGGAATAAAACAAACAATAACCCATTAACCTATAATGACAAAACAAAGGGTGGGGAGTATGAGAGTAGAGATTTCAACAAGTGTTTGGACAAGGAGTATATGGAAGATGAAAGCAAATGAAGGAATAGTAATTAGTTTAGCAGCGAAGAGGAGATTGAAACCTAAATCTGAAGATGAAGGCCAGTTCTCCTGGGAGATTAAAGCTTCAGCATTTGGGAGGTACCAGCTGCCCCTGAAAGTTAGTTCAGATACAGGCTCAGATTAGGAGGGATGGTTGCAAGTCTCTTTGAAATAGTTAGCCCCCAGGTTTCTGTACTCAGACTGCATAGCTAGACAGCTTTCCCTCAGTGGACCAAAAGAGGGGCATTAAGTGAATGTTCTCCTCTCAGAGAAGGGGTACAGCAGAGCCCAAATATCACAGGTAGATGTGCCTGCAGTGAAAAACTTCACTGCAGGCACATCTACTTGTGAATTTAAAAAAATCATACTCCACATAGAAAAGATTATTTTGGCTCATGGTTTTAGAGGTTCTAGACCAAGATCAAGTGGACCCATTGCTTTAGACCTCTGGTGGGGTGCCAGATGCAAAATGGACAGGTGTGGCAGAGCAGAACCACTTATCTCATGACTAGAGAACAAAAGAGAGCAAGAGGAAGGGACCGGGGTCCCACTGTTTCCTTCAAGGGTATGCCCCTAATGACCTGAAGATCTGTTACTAGGCCCTACTCTTAAAAGTTGCACCACCACCTCCCAATAGCAACAGCAAGCCTTTTTTTTTCTTAATATTTTTTTTATTTGTAGTTGGACACAATACTTTTATTTTATTTATTTATTCTTATGTGGTGCAGAGGATCCAACTCAAGGCCTTGCACGTGCTAGGCGAGCACTCTACTACTGAGCCACAACTCTAGCCCAACAGCAAGACTTTAACATGGGCTTTTGGAGGACATTCAAGAGCCAATATTGGTGTACTTTGTATCTTGAATGTCCCCACCATTACCATCTAGCACCCCACCAGAGGTCTAAAGCAATGGAAATCACTTGATCTTAGACTGGGACCTCCAAAACTGAGCCAAAATAAACCTTTTCTCTTTATAAATTAATCATTTCAAGTATCTCATTACAGTGATGGAAAGTTGACTAACACAAATGTGTAGTATCTCAAAATATGAAGGGGAATCTGTGCATCAATAAACACTTGTAAATATTCAATAAAAGGTAAAAATAAGGTTGTGGAAAGATAGAAAATAGAAAAGGAAAGATGAGAATGTCAGAGAATCCTAGTGTTTATTAATAGGAATTTTAGGAAGAGCGATCAGAAAAAAACAAGGAGAGCAAATTATCAGGGAAATTATAGAAGGAAATTTCCCAGACTGAAAGATAGGAGTGCTTTTTTTTTTTTTTTTTGTAGTTGTAGATGGACAGAATGCCTTTATTTTATTTATTTATTTTTATGTGGTGCTGAAGTTCGAACCTAGTGCCTCACACATGCTAGGCAAGTGCTCTGCCAGTGAGCCACAACCCCAGCCTAGGAGTGCCCATTATTGACAGGCTCATCTTAAAATTTTAAACAAAACCATTTCAAGTCACATCATGTTTCAGAACATCTTGGACAAAGAAAAAAAATTATAAAATCTACAGAAACAGAAAGCTGATCAGAAAAAAACCCTCAAAATTGCATCAGTTTTGTTACCTTTGATAGAAAATAATAAAATAATAAATCATAATCATAATTAAAAATTAGGGAAGGCTGGGATATAATTCAATGAAAGAACATTTGCTTAGCATATCCTGTTTCTATCCCCAGGACCAAAAAGACAGAAAGAAAGAGAACTAAAAAAAATCTGAGGGAAAACTATTTTTAGCTTAGAATCCTTAACCAAACTAACTGTGAATCAAGTCACATAAATTATACATTTTCAGATATACAAGATCTCAAATGTTATACCTCCTGTGCATTCTTTCTTAGGAAACTGGAAGGACTACTTTAGCAAAATAAGGAAATAAAAGAAGAACATGGAAGATGTGGAAAAGAAGATACAAAAAGAAAAGTAGCAAGGAAAATCCTAAGGTGGCACAAGGGGATATCCCAGAACTTCAAGGAAACAACAGTACCGGAAATGAGGAGGAAGAAAGAGGGCTCCAGAGGCAACTCAGAATAAATAAATAAATAAATAAATAATGTTGAAGTGTTTTCAACATTAAAAAAAAAAAAAATGGGATTGGGGGCTGGGGTTGTAGCTGAGTGGCAGAGCATTTGCCTAGCATGTGTACGGCACTGGGTTCAATCCTCGGCACCACATAAAAGTAAATAAAATAAAGGTATTGTGTCCATCTACAACTAAAAAATATAAGTATATATGAAATTGGGCTGGGGTTGTGGCTCAGCAGTAGAGCATTTGCCTAGCATTTGCAAGGCCTTGGGTTCGATCCCCAGAACCACATAAAAATAAATAAAGTTATGGCATCCAACTACAACTAAATAAATATTTTTTAAAAAGAAATATATATATATGTATATATATATACATATATATATATGAAATTGGTCAGTATATAGCAGAGATGCTGAAACATTGGGAAAACATTAACAATAGGTAGATAAAATAATGGGAAAATGAGGCAGTTATTAACTTCAAAAAAAAGGAAAACATGGAGGAAAAGAAGTTGCAATCATCATAGTTCACTCTGAATAATATTGATATTGACTTACCATTGACCATTGGTTTAACAAAAAATTATAATTAGGGTGCAGGGTAAGGAAAACAAAGTTGAGCTAGGGGAGAGATTTAGTGTTTTTTCACCATGCCAGAAAGTCAACAGACAAGGACTAAAGTTGATAAATCAGCAAACAGTGGTATAAGGAGCTTGACATCTAGCTCAGTGATAGAGCAGTTGCCTAGAATGTACAAGGCCCTAGGTTTAATCTCCAGCACCAAAATCAAGGAAAGAAAAATGGACATAAGCATATATTTTTTAATATATGAAGAAAAATATTAGTGAAATTAAAGAAGTTGAGGAATAAGACTAGGTGTTGAGAAAAGTAGGGATAAGAAACTTGTTTTAATCACCAGCCTTCTAGTACTGTTTGACTTCTAAAATGATACACATGGATATGCTTATTTCTCTTGTGTTTTCCTTTCATTAAAAAAAAAGTTTATTTTTTAATTTTAAAGGTGCATGTTAGGGCCAGGCACAGTGGTGCACGCCTGTAATTTCAGCAGCTCAGGAGGCTAGGGCAGGAGGATCACAAGTTCAAAGCTAGCCTCAGCAAAAAGCAAGGCACTAAGCAATTCAGTGAAACCCTGTCTCTAAATAATAATACAAAATAGGGCTGAGGATATGGCTCAGTGGTTGAGTGCCCCTGAGTTCAATCCCTAGTACAAAAAAAAAAAAAAAATGTTGATGTTGGGGCTGGGGTTGTGGCTCTGTGGTAGAGAGCTTCCCTAATGTGTGAAGCACTAGGTTTGATCCTCAGCACCACATAAAAATAAATAAAATAAAGGTATTATGTCCATCTACACTAAAATATATATATATATATATATATATTTTTTAAAGAGAGAGTGAGAGAGGAGAGAGAGAAAGAGAATTTTTAATATTTATTTTTTAGTTCTCGGCGGACACAACATCTTTGTTGGATCGAACCCGGGCCGCACGCATGCTACCGCCTGAGCCATATTCCCAGCCCCCAAAAAATATATTTTTTAAAAAAAGTGAATGTTGTTCATATTTTGGGGTTAATGCTATAATTCAGCGGCAGAGTACTTACCTAGCATATGTAAGGCCCTGAGTTCCATCACCAGCACAGCAAAAATAATAATGATGAGGGCTGGGGATGTGGCTCAAGCAGTAGCGTGCTCACCTGGCATGCATGCGGCCCGGGTTCAATCCTCAGCACCACATACAAAGATGTTGTGTCTGCCGAAAACTAATAAATAAATAAATATTAAATAATAATAATAATGATGATGATTGTTGTTGTTGCTGTTGTTTCTGGGCCTGATCTGGTGAGATTTCAAACCAGTAGTAGGACTCACGAATCTGAACTTAACTAGAACCTCGAGAAATTTGGAAGCAAATGGTCCATGGATGATACTTTGAGAAACATTACTCACATCCCTAAAATATACTAAGTATTGTAAAAATGTGTAGTTTTTTGGAGACAGTCCATAATTTTTAGATTCTCTTTGCTGCATCAAACCCAAAAATGTTTAAAAAATTACTGTTTTCTGCCTCTTGCTTGCTTTCCTTCCAAGAATAATTGACATTCCACTCATTATTTAAGGTGAAAAGAGGAGCTAAATATTGTAGCAGGCTAAACTTTTTATAAAATTCAGAAAAATACAAAGCATTGGCTAAACTTTCAGTCCCTCACTTAATATTATTGCCACAGTGAATACCAGTACATTCCTACATGGCAGTGTATTAAATATAATCCTGGTATCCCAAAAAATGTTAATGTGAATCTATTAGCACCAATACAGTGTCGACCAGCCCTATATTCAATTGATAAAATAGGCTGAACATCATGGCAGATGCCTATAATCTTAGCTACTTGGGAGGCTGAGGCAGGAGATTGCAAATTTGAGGACAGCCTCAGCAACACATAATGAGACACCATCTCAAAAAAAAATGTTCACCTATAGTCATCAGTGATATCTTTAATGGCATAACAAGGTCACCTAAATAGTCCACAGTCCAACTGGAAAGGTTTAATGCAGGTATTTTGGCAGTCTTGTACCTTTGGTCAACATTTTAGTCATTTCATGTACAGTTCAGCATTTTCCAAAAATTTAAACCTTTCCAAAATTGTTTTTGTCTTTACAAAATATTACAGGAATTTATGAGATGTACTTGGATTAAACTAGACAGCACAATGTGATCTAATTTTTGGTGCAGAATCACTAAAATTGAAAATATTTAATTTTGATTTATATGTTTTTTTAGCCTTATACATTAATTAACTTTTAGTGAAAGTAAAAAGTACAGTAATATACTCTAAAAGAAGGTACATCACATTTATTAAGACAAACCAGTAGCCAACAAGTTAATGTTTGTTGAACAATAACATAGCATGGCCATTATTAATATTTAAGCTGACAATGCACTGACTTGAATATCAAAGGCCCCTCACCCCATGTCAAGTCATCTCTGACATTCTTAGGTATGGCTCGTAAGTCCATCCATATCACGTACTATATCCCAGACCATGTTTCTAAGCATTTTCCTTATAATGTAATTTCACTTAACCCTGGCAACAACCTCATGAAGAAAGTGGTAGCAGTAGTGTCATTTTGCCCATGCAAAGACCAGTGCACAGTTACTCACTGTGCACTACTAGTATATAGCCAGCATTGATTTGAACCCATCACTCTGGCACAAAAATCTATCCTCTTAATTATTGTGCTGTACTCTCACAAGGCTACTTGTTACAGAACAATCCCATGTACAATTTTATTAGTATGCAGCCGACCCTTCATCTATATGGGTTCTGCACCCACAGAATCAACCAACCTTGGACCAAAAACATTTAGAAAAAAATCGACTTTGTTCTGACTATGTACAGACTTATTTTATTTGTCATTGTTTCCTAAATAATACAGTAGAATAGTTATGTGGCATTTACTTTGTGTTAGTTATAAGGAATATATAGTCAATTTAAAGTGTAAAATATGATTGTTATATGCAAATATTATGGCATTTTATATAAGAGACTTGGGCTTGGGTTTTGATATTCAAGGGGGTCCTGGAATCAATCCCCTATGGATACCAAAGAATGACTGGTAATTTCTCACACACAGATTTTTTTTTTTAAGGATACCTTTTAAAAATGAAATTGTCAGAAACAAAATTTTTTTCCACAGAACAACTTTCAACCTTCTTGTGCATTCTTATTTCTTACAGAACACATTTTCTGAAGTGATGACCTGGGCAACAGTTTGAAATTTCCATTTCTGTTGTAATCCTGGCAAAGGTTCCTTTTTTCAGCTCTTTTTGCATTAATTGGCCTCTCCTGAGCTACTTCTCTTTCAAGATTTAGTATAAAGGAGATACCTTCATGTAGCTCTCTCTCTCTCTGGTTATCAAAGTACTTTCTTAACTTGCCCATACTTCAATTAAGCACTTGTTCTTCTCTCTCACTCTCCCCGCCCTGCTTCCTGTTCTGGGATGCAGTGGGTTTGGGGACTGAACCCAGGAGCACCCTATTCCTGAGCTGCACCCCCATTTTTTAAATTTATTTATTTTTGGTACCAGGGATTGAACCCATGGGCGCTTAACCACAGAGCCACATCCCCAGCCATTTTTAATAAAATACTAAGTTCCTTGGGGCCTCTCTGAGTCGCTAAGGGTGGCTTTGAACTCACAATTTTCCTCCCTCAGCCTCCCAAGCCACTGGGATTACAGGTAGGTGCCACAGTGGCAGTCTGTGCCCCCAATTTTTGAGACAAGGTCTTGCTAAATTGCCAAGACTTCCTTGAACTAATTCTCCTAAGCAGCTGGGATTAGAGGCATATGCCACTGTGCCTGGTTTAAACACGATTCCTTGAGCTACATTTCCCAATTATTTTCTAATCAAGGTGTAAATTGGATCTAACAGTCGCTAATGTACATTTCATTTAAAAAATATTAGAGGGCATGGAAGGCTGAGATGTGAGGATCCCAAGTTCAAAGCCAGCCTCAGAAACTTAGGCCCTAAGCAAACTAAAGACTCGGTCTCAAACCATGTTACATTGTTGTTAAA